TTTTACATTATGTCTGGCAAAAAGAAAACAAACAAACAAAACAGAGTATCTACTTTGTGTTGGAAGAAATAGAGCCAGAATGCTCCTTAGAAGCTAAGATACCACAATTTCTTCTCAGATACTTTGGATATGTTATCAGGAGGGACCAGTCCCTGGAGCAGGACATCGTGCTTGGACATCATTCTCTCCTTAGAATCCTTATTACTTTGGTAGATTAAGTATAGTATTGTATTTGTGCAATGTTACCTATAAATGCTGTTTTATTATTGTCAAAATATATAGCACATGATTTGCCAATTAATATTTTTCGCACGTGCAGTTTAGTGACATGGTTGTTAAGTTGCATTGAGTTGGTCCAGCTCATAGTGACCCACTAATTTGAACTACTGACCTTTCGGTTCAAACCAACCTTGCGGTCCAGTACCTATCCCACAACACCACACCAGGAATACTTTCATTAATGAAATAAAGGAAAACCCTTAGAAGATGGATTAAACAATGGCCACAACAATGTGCTCAAGTTTAGCAAAGATTGTGAGGATGGCATCCCACCAGGCAGTGTTTTGTTCTGTTGTGCATAAAGTTGCTATCAGTCTGGACCCATTTGATGGCCCCTAACAACTCTGTGTGGGTCTTTTGTCCTTTAAATGTATTTCAGTGACATCTACCTTCCAAAGTCCATGTACCCCCAGAACTTTATAAGTCCTGACTCTTAAACCACCAGGATGACTTTTCATTAGTGATTTAATGTCTGAGTCCCAATTTCTTAAACTGTAGAATAGGGATAATGTCTAATTTTCGGGGTTTGTTTGAGAATTAAGTGCTTACATTAATTTATGAAAGTAATGTATATGCTCACTGTTGAAAATTTAAAATGCTTCACAACCCCAGCACTCTGTGGCCCCTCTGTTTTGTCATTTATAGCCTGGTGTGGCATTGTAGGATAAGCACAGGACTGCTAACCACAAAGTCAGCGGTTCAAACCCACCAGCTGCTCCTGGGAAATCCTATATAGGGTCACTATGAGTCAGAACTGACTTGACAGTACTTAACAACAAAATATTCTGTTCAGATCCTACTTAACAATTTTGTTCTTTTAACATTGTATCATAAGCATTTTACCATGCTGTTCCACTCTGTAAATATATTTTCAGTAGCTATGTGATAGTCCAAGGAGCTCTGGTAGTGTAGTGGTTACAAATCGGGCTGCGAACTGCAAGGTCAGCAGTTCAAAACTACCAGCTGTTCTGCGGGAGAAAGAGGAGGCTTTCTGCTCCCGTAAAAATTTACAGCTTTGGAAACCCTGTACAGGGTTGCTATGAGTCGGATCCAACTCCATGGCACATAACCATCAACCAACCATGTGACAGTCCACCATCATTTAATAAACTACTGCCATAGTGTAGATATTTTGCAATATTATAAATAGCATGATACTGAACATTTCAATATTATAAATAACACTATAATAAACATCATTCCCTATTTCAAAGTATGTGTTTAGGAGAATAGACTCAGAAGCAGAATTACTGGGCCAATAGGTAAACATTTTTAAAACCTGTGAAACATGTTATCAGTTTGAACCACTCAGCAGCTCCTCAGGAAAAAGACCCCGCGATCTGCTTCGTTAAAGATTACAATCCTATGGCGCAGCTCTACTTGTCACATAGGATCACTATGAGTCAAGGTTGAATCAACAGCTCTCAGACAGCAACAACCTGAAAGACACCTTGGTGTCCAGTCTTTCCTTAGAATACTTAATCCTCTGGTAGATTAAATATGGTATCTTGGTATGTCACTGTAGGATAAGCACTGGACTGCAAGGTCAGTTTGCACCGCAAGATAAGTGGTTCAAACCCACCAGCTACTCCTTGGATCACTATGAGTGGGTACTGACTGGATGGTTCAACAATGCTGTTAACAACAACAGCATTGTTACGGAATTGCCTATTAATGCTCTTTTATGCTGTCAATATAAAATACATTTCAATCAATGTTTTTCACATGTACAGTTTAGTGACATCAGTTACATTAATCATATGTGACCATTACCAATATTCAATACCAAATTTTTCATCACCATAAACAGAAACTCCTTCCTCCTTCTTTGCCTCCTTTCCCCACAACCACCATAAACTTTGGTGTCCATACATTTGCCCAATTCTAGCTATTTCATATGAGTGAGATCAAAAGATCAAATATTTTGTTTCCCTATAAGACTGACTTCTTTCACTAAGTATAATAGTTTCAAGATTCATCCATATTGTAGTATAGGTACCAGGACTTCATTTCTCTCTGTTGTCGTTATTGTTAAGTGCCACCGAGTTGGTTCTGCCTCATAGCGACCCTGTAAAGGGTTTCTGAGGAGAGGTGGATTTGAACTGATAACTTTGTGGGTAGCAGTACAGTGCTTATTCTATAGCACCATAGCAGGACTCTTCATTTGTCTTCAAGGTTGAACATTAGTTCATTTATTATCTTTTAAATTGTTTGTCTAGAATGTTATATAACTAGTTGCCATGGAGTTGATTCAGAGTTACAGAGTAGAACTGTTTCATTGGGTTTTCTTGGCTGTAATCTTTAGTAGTTCAAACCCACCAGTTGCTCCTGGAAACCCTGTACAGGGTGGATATGAATCGGAAACGACTCAGTGACAACAACAACAGTAATCTTTATGGAGGCAGATCAACAGGTAGATTCCAACCATCATCAACCTATAGGTTGTTGTTAAATGCGGTCCAGTCATAGCCACCCGGTACAGGGTTTTAGAGGACTGCCTGGTGGGTTTGAACTGCCAACCTTGTGGTTAACAGTCCAGTGCTTATCCTACAGCATGGTTAGTGGAGCTCAAACTGCACCACCAGGGACCTAAAATTTTATATAGTAAGGTTATTTATAAAATTTCCCTTCTTTGCTCTTGACCATTAATTAGGTTTAGTTATCGTCAAAACTTGTTATTCTTGTTAAGTGCGGTCGAGTCGGTTCCGACCCATAGTGACCCTGTATGGGGTTTCCGAGGAGCGGCTGATTAGCTTGGAAATTTCTTTTATCCCTTGTTACATAAAGTAAGCTCCGGTTCTCAAACGTAGCAACAGTGGAGCACTGAGGAGCAAGGAGCCCCCAAGTCCAGCCCCACCTTCAAACGCCTTGTTTTCTGTAGGGTGGTACTACTGATAAAGCAGCATTCCTTCTAGCCTAGGGCTCGTCCGTGGTTTGACCAAGGCAGCTGGACTCCAGCGGCTCCAGGTCTCAGTGGGAAGTGCCCCCAAGGCCAAGCAGTGGCGCGTCCCATCCGGCTTATTAAGGAGTCCTGGTGTGGTGCTGTAGGATAAGCAGTCGACCACAAGGTTGGTTTGAACCGCAAGATTGGAGGTTCTAACTCACCAGCCGCTCCTCGGAAACCTTATACAGGATCGCTATGGGCCGGAACCACTCGACGGTACTTAACAACAATAAGCGAGTTTCGGAACTAACTAGAGGACGCCCCTCATTCCTAATAAAACGGCTATCACCTGATGTGGCGCTGCGGTTTTAATGTGCTGGACTGCAAAGTCGGCGCTTCAAGCTCACCAACTACTTCTCGGAAACCCTACATAGGTTGGTTATGGGTCGAAACGGACTCGACGGCACTTAACATCTTCCAAGGCCCAACAGTGGGAAGTGCGTTTTCTTGGAGCACCCTCCTCTCCGTGGGCCTTTAAGGCCTGTATCCAACCGGGTTCGCCGCCCCGGACGCCCCTGTCCAGCGCTGTAGCCCAGCAAGCTCGGACAGTTGACGCGGGGTCCTAGGCACTTGGAAGCTACCCCAAACCCCGCCGCCGTTCTAGAAAGGTGGAAGTGAGAGTGACTCAGAAACCTAAATGCTCCCGCATGAACCAGCACTTCCAAAGCCTCGGGGATCTCTGCCTTTCCATAGCCTCAACCCCCGAGGGAGCGCGTCCAACCCAACGCCCTCCACCCCCACCCCCCGCGCCTCTCCTACACTCCCGGTGTTTCCCGCGTCGCTGCTTCCTGCAGTCCCTTCCCCAAGCGTCTTCAGCCTCCCTTCGGGGGCCCCCTCTCCGGTTTCCCGTGTCCCCTCCCCACCCCTGACCCGGGCTTCCTGAGTCGCCTCACACACACACACACACACACCCCACGCGACGCCCCCTAGTCCAGACTGTCCCTCCCCATCCTAGACTTCCTCAGTCCCCTAACGGAGCTTCTCCTGCCTCTTCCCCGCCCCCTCTCCGTATTGCCGCGTCCCCTCCCCCCCCCGGTTTAAACCTGGAGCCGAGCGCACTGGTAGGTGTGCGCCCCGGGCCGGAGCGAGTAAGGCGCGGCTGCAGTCATTGGCGCAGCTGGAGGAGCGCGGGCTCCGTGGGCACTATGAGACCCGAAGCGGCGGCGGGAGCACAAGAGGCGCGTGGACACCGATGCCACTGCCTGGTGGACGGTCCCGGAAGGCCACTGCCACCGCGTGGGCCCGAGAGGTGAGGATGCGCGGCCGTCGAAGCCGAGTGCTCAGCGAGCGGGATGTTCCGGGCGCCGCTGAGCCCCGAGCCCCGGCATATACCCCGAGCCAAGCCGATACCTTAACTTGAGACCGAGAGAGTCGCAGAATCTTTTCGATTCGGGCGGTACATGGAGAGGAAATGGGCCAGTGCTTCACTTTATGGAAAAAATATATTTCACCGGGCTAGGAAAGCAAACACCAAGACCCGGAACCCCCTAAGCAAGTCTTGCAAGGGGGTCCCCCGAGTTCATGTCACTAGAAAAGTCTTTGCCCTGTTCTGGGGGCTTGACATTCGCTGTTTCTGGCCTCAGGCCTTATTAAGTAGTAAAGTTTAGGATCAGCAGAAGGTCGGCAGTTCAAACCCACCTACTGCTCCGTGGGAACTCTATATAGGGTCGCTATGAGTCGGAATCAACTCTATGGCACTTAACAACAACCGCGATTTGTAAGGAAATCAAATTAGACAGGGAGGTGGGGAATAGGCAACGTCAGTTTCTGAAGGGACTGAGTGGGTGAGGCAGCTGGAGAGAGAAAACAGTTCCCCTCTTATTTGCACCGTAGAACTTTGTAGAGTCAAGACCCTTCAATACTCCCAAGGGGTTGCAGTTAGCACTTGTGGTAGTCGGATCACCACTGCCAGCCACAGGGGGGACTCCTGAATTGAAAAGGGAGATAAATCCCTCAATAATGTGTTTCCTGATAACTATCAAATTTGGGATTTATTCTCAAAGGCAAAGAAATTAAGGCAGAGAAAACCTGTAAGTGTTCTGATGTAGCCACAGGCTCAGACAGAACTTGTAGGAACTTTCTGGATCTGTCAGTGCCTCTAAGGCAGATAATAGAAATGATCAAAACAATAACTCATAAGGTATTTTAAAAGACACTGCAGGAAATACATGACAGTCACTTTATCATGGTCCGTGTCTTCCCAGCTCCACACCTTGGAGACCTTGGAGCCTCACATCTGGAGATGCTGGACAGATGAGAACTGGAAGACAGGTAAGGTGGGCGTTGTAGGTATCAACCAGTCCAGCCAGAAAATGGTACAGTATTTAAAATCAAGGGACTGTGAAAAAAAGCCTCCTCCACCCACTTGGTCATCCAACCCAGGAGTGCTGTCTGGGAGTGGGAGAGGCGTTAATCACACCTGACTCACAGACTGGCTTCCTGCTTTCTTATTGTTTCTTGAAAATTCAAAGGATCTCTTCCATGTTGGGTTTTTTTTCTGTAAATCTGCAGATAAGTGAGGCAGAAAGACAACTGTGGCTACCCCCCCCCATCCCCTCCCCACCTCTTTGAGAAAAGGTAAGTCTACCATTAGGGCTGAGCTGGTGACACAATGCAAATAAGGCAGAGACCTGTCTGAAGTACCCAGAAAGTGTGGGTTAAAAGCCCCACCAACCGTCTGGCCATTTCTGAAGCACTTTCGGCACTGTCTGCAACCACTCCTGGGATAACTCTTGTTGTCTGAGCAAATACACTCAAGCCCAGGGCTTTGTGGGTGAAGATTAATTGCCACCACTATTCTTTTGTTCTTCTGTATTGGTAACACAGTTGCTTTACGCTGAAGTATACTGACTTACTTTCATAGAATTTACTGTTTCTTTGTTATATTTTTAAAAATAAATGGACAACTTTCAAAATGTAGAAGAGTTAGTCTGGGAAGGATCATATATTTAATGTACAGAACAATGTGATATATGGTTTAGCATGTTACGAAAATTCTGGTTCAGGAAAGCAGATCTTTTCTGCCTTTTGATAGTCTGTCGTCTGTATCAAATTAATGTGAAGACTGAGAACTTTAGTAATTACTATGTGCTTTAAAGAAGAAAGGCAATAAAATGTATGGGAAAATTCCATTATTTTTCAATTCCATTTTTGTGAGAACTTTTTGAAGCCCCCTCATATATCAAATTAACAATCTTTTTATTAGCCTTAATTATTCATACATGTAATAAGTAAATACTAAAAATTAATTCCTTCTTTTTGCATTGAAGCTTTCTTCCCTTAAACATAAGATTTAAAAGGTGTTCGGGAGAGAAAGCCATAGGGCAAGAGAGAGGAAATATAGAATTTGTTGTTGCTAGGTGGCGTAGTGGTTACGAATCGAGCTGTGAGCCGCTAGGTCAGCAGTTCGAAACTACCAGCTGTTCCTCGGGAGAAAGATGAGGCGTTCTGCTCCCGTAAAGATTTACAGCCTCGGAAAACCTGTGCAGGGTCGCGATGAGTTGGAACCGACTCCACGGCACTTAACAACAACAACAACAACAACAGGTGCCCTTGAGTCAGTTCCGACTCATAGCGACTTTATGCACAACAGAACAAAACACTGCCCAGTCCTGTGCCAACCCTACAATCATTGTTAGGCTTGGGCCCATTGCTGCTCCCACTGTGCCAAGTTTCTTTTCAATGAAATACATGTGGGGCCTATCAGTTATTTGTAATAATAAAAATACAATAGCACACTTTCTAGTGGAAGATAAGTTTTTCCCCATTTTGATAACAAGGCCATTCATTTGTGAGAAAAATGATTACTTGCCAAAAAGTCTTATTGTTATTAGGTGCTGTTGAGTTGGTTCCAACTCACAGTGACTCTGTGCCCAACAAAATGAAATACTGCGTGGTTCTGTGTTATTCTCAAATTGTTATGTTTGAGCACATTGCTGCTATCACTGTGTCAAGCCATCTTGTTGAGGGGGTCTTCCTCTTTTTCACCAACGCTTCACTTTACCAAGCATGATGTCCTTCTCCAGGGACTGGTTCTTCTTGACAATATGTCCAAAGCACTAGAGATGAAATCTTACCATCCTGACTTCTAAGGAGCCTCTGGCTATACTTTTTCCAAGACAGATTTGTTTGTTCTTCTGGCAGTCCATGGTACTTTCAATATTCTTCTCCAACACCACAGTTCAAATGCATCATTTCTTTTATGACCTATCCCCCTCTGTGCAGCGAGGGAATGCTTTTTGCTCAATAGTGACTTCCTCCCAGCAGGCTACTTCATACTTTCCTGCACATCTGAACTTGGCCCTGAGCAGTGGGGTCTCCCCACCTTCCACCGTCCCCACTAGGTATTCCAGCACCCCTGGAGAGCTGTCTCTCTCCTCTACCTGAGAAAAACAATGATAGTATAAATCCTCTTGGGAGCCTTTGTGGCATACTGGGTTATGAAGTAGACTCAGAGGAAGAAAGATGAAGCTTTCTGTTCCTGTAGAGATTTACAGTCTCACTATAGAGTGATGAGAATCAATTCAATGTCATAGAGCAACAACAAATCCACCCTCTGTTGCATTTCCTTCTGGGTGGTTTACTGGACCTGCAAGGGTGGTGATTTTCCTAGAAGATGTCAGGCCAGCTTCTTCTATAGGACCTGTCCTCACATGTTCCAGGCTACCCACGCCTTAGCCTTAGGCCATGAGAGCAAGACCTTATTGACTGTCTCAGCTGGCATCCGGAGCATGGTGGCTCTATACAATAAGCACTCAACTGGGAATCCTACAAGGTCCGTGGTTTGAGCTCACCATCCCCTCTGCAGGAGAAAGGTAAGGCTTTCTGTTCTCACAAAGATGTGCAGCCTCAGAAACTCTACAGAGTTGGAACAACTATTGGTATCTATTCTCTCACTATTAAAAATAGACACACACAGTGTATCTTAAACACAGTGCTTACCCTGCCAGAGGTAAGCAATTGGCTGTTAACCTAAAGATTGGATGTTCAAATCCACTCAGAGACTCTAAGGAAGAATGAACTGACAACCTACTTTTGGAAAGATTACAGTTAAGGGAATCCTTTGGAGCAGTTCTACTCTGTATGGTTCTGGCATGAGTCTGCCTAACTTCATGGCAACGAGTTTGGTTTTTTGTTTTACTTTATATGCATTTTTATTCCCTTTTAGTTATCCAGTCATGACTATTTAGATATCTCTGCCATCAGTAAAGGATTTTTAATAAGATCTTTTGGAAAATAATTAGGTAGCCAGTACCACAAAGGTTTAAGTGGTCTGTGCATGTGGTGATATATGCATAACAAAACTTGCCATTTAAACCATTTTCTGTGTACAGCACCAAGTTTTTAAAGTATATATACATTTCACAGGGTAAAGGAGCTCTGGTAGCGTAGTGATTACAAATCAGGCTGCGAACCACAAGGTCAGCAGTTCGAAACTACCAGCTGTTTTGCGGGAGAACGATGAGGCTTTCTGCTCCCGTAAAGATTTACAGCCTCGGAAACCCTGTGCAGGGTCACTATGAGTCGGAACCGACTCCAAGGCACATAACAACAACAACAACAAAGTTAGGAGTCTCTAGGTGAGTCAACTGTAGTATTAACTGAAAGGTGGACAGTTCCAACCCAGACAGAGGCTCTTTGAAAGGCAGACCTGGACATCTGAAAGGCCATATCCCTAAAAACCCTAAGGAGCTCTTCTACTCCGCACATGTGGAGTCGCCGTGAGTTTGAATTGATTCTGCTGCATCTAATAACAACAAAAATTTTAAGGAAGCTATTTTTACTTTGTGCCCCTAACACTACCTTTTAGTGCTCACCATGTTTGCATTGTAGTGTTAGACCCTATGCCATCACAGGGCGTAAAACTACCTTTAGCAGTACTGTTAGACATGCAAAAGCTAGACAGTGAATAAGGGAGACCATAGAAGAACTGATGTTTTTCAGTTATGGTGTTGGAGGAAAATATTTTAAGTACCACAGGCTGCCAAAAGAACCAACAGATCTATGTTGGAAGAAGTACAGCCAGGGTGCTCCTTGGAGGCCAGGATGGCCAAACTTCGTCTCTCATACTTCAGACATATTGTCAGGAGGGATCAGTCGCTGGAGAAGGAGAGTCAGAAAAAAAGAGGAAGACCCCCAGCGAGATAAATTGGCAAAATGGCAGCATCAATGGGCTCAAGGTGTGGCAACCATTGTGAGATTGGCCTAGGACTGGGCAGTGTTTTGTTCTGTTGTACATAGGGTCACTATGAGTCGGTACCAACTCAATGGCACCTAACAACAACAGCAAGCAGTACAGGATTGCCTGTGGTAGAGTGAACGTGAGCAATTAGGGATGCTTTATCATTACATGCAGGAGCCCTGGTAGTGCTGTGGGTTAAGTATGGGACTGCTAACCAGAAAGTTGTGGTTTGAATCCACCCACCAGCTGCTCTTCTGGAGAAAGCTGAGGCAGTCTGCTTCCATAAAGATGTAAGTCTGGGAAATCATGTAGGGCAGTTCTATTCTGTCCTGTAGGGTTTCTGTGAGTCAGAATTGACTGGACAGCAGTGGGTTGGGTTTGGCTTTCTGTTGATTATTACATGTACACGGTTTAACATAGAAATAGATTCCTATAGCAACCTTCACTATAGAAAAGACTTTGTTCCAAAGATCTCATTTTTCTTCCCTTAGCTCACCACAGTTTGCTTTAAAAAATGTATCTTCAGAGGCTCCTATAGGTTAGTTTGCTCACAAAGATCATACATACATATGTCAGTGCACATGGAAAAAGTACAGCTAGAATGCTCCATAGAAGCAAGAAAGGCAAGAATTAGTCTTGTGCTGGACAGGTTTGAACCTTCCACCTTTCAGTGAGCAGCCAAAGCTTACGCATTACGATACCAGGCTCTTTGTTCAGCATCATAGCAGCATGCTAACTGAAAAGTGGAAGATTCAAATCTACCTAGCAGCTCCAAAGGAGAAAAGATTTGGAGATCTGTTGGGTACAGTGACATGGGTCATTCATACACACAGAGGTCCCGTGCAAGCTAGAATGACAAAGTGGTCACACACACACACACACATATATATATATACACACACATGTAGTTCCCCGGAAAGGTAGAATGATGAAATGGTCATAAATACATACACACACACACATCACACATGTAGATCCCCTGCAGGGGATAATGACATGATGGTCATATGTACTTTCATACAGACATACATGCATGCAGGTCCCCTTCAGGATGGAACAACATGGTGATTGCTGGTGATAAACTGTCCAAGGAGCCCTTTCTGTCATGTTATAACTGGGTTGGTCCCATTTCTGATCTGGTTCCCATCACACTCCAAGAAATCAAAGAGCTCACAGTTCTGATCCATTGCAGCACACTTTGAAGTCATTCCAGAATGATCCTTAGTACCCAAGATACACTACTCCTCACTTTCCTCAGTAACTAAAGCTTTGGAAGACCTGCTTTGTTGTTTGTTGTGAAGAGCCATCAAATCAATTCTGACTCATTTATATAAGGTTTCCAAGGAGTGGCTGGTGTGTTTGAAATGCCAGCATTGTGGTTAGTAGTCCGTCCAGTGCTTATTCTATAGTACCACACCAGAACTGAGATCAAATGATACTCTTGGTTGCTCCTCTGCACCTCAGAGAACCTGGTTACACTTTTAGCCAAATCTGTTCAGGTTCAGTATCCTCAAGAGTTTGCACAGAATGAGCTCATCCCTGGCCAGGTTGTATGGTTTATGTGATGGTCCTTTCGCCTTCCTGTGCTCATCCTGCCTAGTATGATCACAGGATCTCATGCTACTTGAGGCCTTGTCTTCATGATTATTGCCCTTCACTGCCTGGTGCTCAGACCAACTTCCCTTTCCTCTACTTCTGAGATTCTAGTGCTCACGGGACTTTGGGATACTACTGAAATGTAGTTGGGATAAGTCTTTCCATTTTCTTGCCATTGCTGTTATTCCCGCTGTTAACTGTTGTCAAGCCAGTCGCCCACTCACAGCAACCCCATGCACCACAGAATGAAATGCTGCTCCATTCTGCACCATCCTATGATCACTTGTGGATTGGACCATTGAGATCCATAGGGTTTTTCATTGGATGATTTTCAGTGAGTTCACCAGACCTTTCTTCTTAGTCTGGAAGCTCTGCTGAAACCTGTTCAGCATCGTTGTTGTGTGCTGTTGAGTCCATTCCGACATATAGAAATCCTTTATGACAAAACAGACCTGTGTCATATGGTTTCCTAGGTTATAATCCTTGTGAGAACAGATCTCCAAATCTTTTCTTCTTTGGAGCTGCTAGGTAGATTTCAATCTTCCACTTTTCAGTTAGCATACTGTATTTTTTGATCTTCATCAGCAGGTGATTCAAGTCCTCTTTGCTGTCAGCAAGCACTGTTGAGTCATCTGCATATTGCAGATTGTTAGTGAGCCTTCCTCCAATCCTGATGCTGCATTCTTCGTATAGTCCAGTTTCTGGGATTATGTGTTAAGCATACAAATTGAATAAGTATGGTGAAAGACTATAACTCTTACACATCTTCTGATTAAAAATCATGTAGTATTCCCTTGATTTGTTCAAATGACTGCCTCTTGGTCTATGTATAGAGTTTGCACAGTTAAATTATTTGCATAGTGTGTAGTTATTTGCATACACGTATATCTCTCTAACTGAAGGACTGTGCCACACTCACCTATCTGCTGTGGAATGTCTCTTAATGCCTGAGACATTGAAAAGACAACAAGAATGGAAGGGAAGCTTATAAAGTACTGTTCAGATTGTAAACAGTCTCTAAAATTAGTACTGATACTGAAAATTACAGACTACTTCAAAACTCTTTTTTAAAACTCCTCAAGGTGATTCCTTTGTGTTGCTGTTTGGCTGTATCTGAGTTTATACGTGTCTGTCTTTACAGCTTGAGCCTGGGGGTGACCAACAAACTTTTGGATCGAAGGGGGCCTTTGGGTTTCAGCATCCTGTAAGGTAATGTATGATTTCATAGACAATTTTCTTTTACTGTAAATATTTAGTAGCTTCAACTGTCTGTGTTTTTAACAACATGGGAAATAATTCAGCATGTTCTATGATGTTATTTAATTTTCTTATTCCAAGGAATATTTTGTTGGATTTCTGGAATCCATTCATTTATTCACTGATTCAGAATTTCAACTGCAAGTTGAAATTGGTTGGTCTCTTTTATCTGTATACCTTTTGTTTATACCTCCCATTGTATATTATGCCCTGTGTTAAGTTTAATTGTATATGAATCGTACATGCATATGTAATTATTTATTTACATTTTTAGCTACATTTGTATTTTTCTCAAGCTAACATATTACGAAGCACAAAAAAAACCAAAGTACACACAAAAAAACTGTTATTGAGTCAATTCCAACTCATGGAGACTCCGTATGTGTCCGAGTAGAACCTGTGCTTCACAGAGTTTTCAGTGGCTGAGTCTTTGGGAAAAGATTGCCAGGTCTTTCTTCTGTGACACCTCTGGGAGGACTCCAACCTTTCTTTTAACAGCTGAGTAATGTAATTTTTGCACCAGTTGCATAAGGGTTCATGGACCTTTAAAAAATATGTATTGAATATCTGGTACATCTGTGTTAGATACCTGGCACTAGATTTTTACTTACAATTTGGTCTTCTCTTAATGCATTCAAAAGTATTCACTTTTGTTAAAACGGTATCACTGTTACTTCTTTATAAAATGAAGGTAAAAGTAATAAGTACTTCACAGGTTTATTTCAAGGTGTTAATGAGCTAATATATATAAAATGCTTAGGACACTGCCCAACACATAATAAGTATTATATGTTGTTGTTGTTAAGTGCCATCGAGTCAGTTCCGACTCACAATGACCCTGTATAGGCTTTCTAAGGACAGATTTGTGAGTTTGAACCACCAACCTTGCGGTTCAAACCAACCTTGAGATGGAGTGCTTATCCTATGATGCCACACCAGGACTTCAAGTATTATATATAAGCATTCATTATTATTATCTTAATGATGATGATTTTTTTTTTTTTTTCTCATTGTTTGGCTGAAATGGCCAGGAGGGTGAGTTCAGTTTCAGGCTGGAAGTCTAAGGGCCACAGTTTCGGAGGTCTCTATCTGACCAGTCAGCCTAGTCTTTTGATGATTTTGAGTTTTGTCCCACATTTCCCCCGATGCTACCCCGGACCTTCTGATATGATCCCTGTCATACTGGTGGGTAATAGTAACCAGGCACTATCCAGTTCTTCTGGTCTCAGCGTCATGGAGGCTAGGGCTCACATGATCCGGTAGTCCAAACTGCTTCCATGTGTCTTTAATTTGCTTCACTTTTCTTTGCTCCAAACCAGGAGATACCAGTAGTTGTACCTCATGATTATTGTCGTTATTAACCTCCATTGAATACTTTGTGCATTAATGGTCATTCAATAGAATCAACATGTTTCCTCTTTTATTATTTAAGTGTAAACTATATTCATACTTAAGGAACTCTGGAAGCATAGTGGTTACAAATCGGACAACTAAACCCGGTCAGCAGTTCAAAACTACCAGCTGTTCCGCGGGAGAAAGATGAGGCTTTCTGCTTCTGTAAAGATTTACAGCCTCAGAAACCCTGTACAGGGTCACTATGAGTCGGAACCAGCTCCACAGCACATAACCACCACCACCACCATATTCATACTTGCATGCAAAGAGTGTTTTGTACAATTGGGAAAATAAAAATACAGATTCCTGGACAGTACCTGCAGACGTTCTGGTTCGCTTGTTCTAAGTACAAGCATGTGGATCTTGAAGGACTCTCCAGGTGATCCAAATGTGCAGCCATGCTTGAGAACCTCCACCCTACTTCCTGCCCTGTAAATATTCACCTGCACCACCTACCTATGGGCTTGCCATGGTGCCACTCTGCTTTCCATGTTTTGACTGGCTGAGAATGTGGTGACCATGTGAGCTGCATTCACATAACTGGATTGAAAATTGAGTACTTAACTCTATTTTATCTTTTTTTTTAATGGAAAATTTCAAACAGGCACAAAAGTGGAGACAATAGTAAAATGAACCTCGTATCCATCAGCTAACCTTACTAATTATCAACATACTTCTGATTTTTCCTTCCAATTTTTTTTGTTAGAATATTTAAAGCAAATTAGGCATAAGTGCCTAATAGTTTATTCTTTCTGTTGTGGTGAAAATATACACAAAATATATGTTCTTTCAATATCAATTCAGAGACATTGATTGCATTCTTTAACTTGTGCAACTATTTTTGCCTTCCTTTCCCAAATCATTCCATTACCATTAATATAAACCAACTGATCCCTGAGCAAAAACTGCCCCTTTCTTCCTCCTTCTCGTCTGTGGTGGTGGTAGTGGTGGTTATGTGCCATGGAGTCGGTTCCAACTCAGTGACCCTGTATAGGATTTCCAAGGCTGTAAATCTTTACAGGAGCAGAAAGCCTCATCTTTCTCCCTCGAAGTGGCTCGTAGACTCAAACTGCTAACATTGCAGTTAGCAGCCCAAAGCATAACCACTACGTAGCCAGGACTCCTCCTTCCCACTCGTGGGAACCACAACACTTTTTGGTATCTATGTTGTTATTGTTACTAGGTGCCATCGAGTCGGTACCAACTCATATCATAGCAACCTTATGCACAGCAGAATGATACACTGCATATATCATATACTTGAGACTGTACGGTATTTGTTCTTTTGTAACTGATTTCTTTCACTCAGCATCATGTTTTCAAGTCCATCATGTAGTGGCATGCATCAGGACTTCATTTCTACTTACGGCTAAGTAGTATTCCATTGTGTGTATGTACCACATTTTATTTATCCATTCATTTGTTGATGGATGTTTCTATTGGTCCCACCTTTTGGCCATTGTGAAAATTCAATGAACGTTGATTGATATACAGGTTTGCATTCCTGCCTTCACATTTTCTGGGTATATACCTAGGATTGGGATTGCTGTTGTGATGTGCCTTCGAGTCCGCTCTGACTCATAGAGACCTTATATAGGGTTTCTGAAGAGTGAATAATGGATTGGGGTTACTGAGTCATAAATGCCCAATTTTTGACCTGGCAAAAAAACTAAACCATGCTTGACTTCCTGCCTTAGGTGTATATATATATATACAGTAGAGATACTCAGCTGTGCCACTTCTTATTGTGGGGACTTTGCTGAATATTATAGGATGTTCAGGAACATCACTGGCCTCTACCTACTCAATATCTGGAAGCTTACCCCCAGTGTGACAACCAAAAATGTTGCCAGCCACTACCAAATGTCCACTAGGAGGCAAAATACCTCCACTGGTTGAGGACCATTGTTGTTGTTAAGTGCCGTCAAGTCGATTCCTACCCATAGTGACCCTGTATAGTGTTTCCAAGGAGCAGCGGGTGAGCTTGAATCACAGACCTTGCAGTTCAAACAACTTTGCAGTCTGACGCATTAGCCCACAGCGCCACACCAAGACTCCTGGGGACCATTGTTGTTGTTGTCGTTAAGTGCCGTCGAGTTGGTTCCGACCCATAGTGACCCTGAACAGGATTTCCAAGGCTGTAAATCTTTACAGGAGCAGAAAGCCTCATCTTTCTCCCATGGAGCAGCTGGTAGTTTCGAACTGCTGACCTTGTGGTTCGCAGCCCGATTCATAACCACTATGCTACCAGAGCACCTTCCTGGGGACCATTAGCCTATTAGAAACTTTAAGAAGTTAAATATAGGAAAGTTTTTTTGTTTTTTGTTTTTTTTAGAGAGCCAGTCTAAGCTTTATTCACAATAAGCCAGCAGTCTGGAGGATGGGAGAATAATTTCTCAAGACCGTCCTGTTCATTATTAAGAGCAGGCACATTATATAGGGTAAGTTACCTTGGGATGTACACTTAATCTATTTTAACATCAAGATAGTATTCTTTGGGAAAAGGAAACAATAAATCAATAAACTTCCTCGAACATTCTGCCTTTAGGGCCTCGGCTACTTAATTCCTGAGATAACTATCTGGGTGGGTTTAAGTACTTCCTATTCTCCTTGTCCAGTTCTCCTTCTAGGACCCTAAGGTTACCTTAGCTAATTATAAACTTCCTCATTTGCAGGGTCCTTATTTGAGACTTAATGACTAAGCCGACTCCATTTTGTTTGTTGTTGTTGTTAAGTGCTGTTAAGTCGATTCCAACCCCTAACAACCCTGTATAGGGTTTCCAAGGAGCACCTGGTAAGCTTGAACCTCCGACTTTGCAGTTCAAATGACTTTGCAGTCTGATGCATTAGCCCATAGCACCACACCAGGACTCCCCATTTTGTTTAGGTCAGCATAAATATAGGGAAGTTTTATACAGGGTATTTTTCTCTCCTCTTGTCCTCCAATCCTAGAAGAGGGATATTTAAATCAATTTTGCAAATAAGTGGCGGTGGTGGTTGTGTGCAAGTTGGTTCTGACTCTTAGCAACCCGATTTAAGGATTCCAAGGGAGCAGAAAGCCTCATTTTTTTTTCCTGCAGAGCAACTGGTAGATTTGAACTACTGACCTTTTGGTTAGCAGCCCAGCTACCAGGGTTCCTTTACAAATAAGTAGCGATCAATTAATAAACTTCACTTCCTCAGAAGACAACAGGGGAAAATGTAATTGAATAAATAAGTGAAACTGTAAGGATAAGAGATTATGGTGAACCAGTTGGGCAGATGAATATTTTAAATACTATTCATACATAACTAGAATCCTAAATTCCACAGAGTCTGGAATTTAGGGGCTATCCATTTTTTTATGGAGTCCTGGTATGGCACTGTAGAATATAGTATTGGATCTAAAGGTCAGTTTGAACCATAAGGTTGGCGGTACAAACTCACCAGCCATTCCTGGGAAATCCTATACAGGAGGCTATGAGGCAGAACTGACTCAATGGCAGCTAACAACAACAGCAACTTTTTTAAAAACTAAAATCCCCTCTCCCTACACACCTTTTTATTTTTTTAAAAAAGCAGGATTTTTCATATAAAGCTTGTATTCTGGCAATCAGGCACGCACCCCTCCAGCCACCCTAGGTCAAAGTTTCCGTGTTAAGTGTATTCCAGAACCCCAAGGGTTATAGCTTTTCTCATCTTTGTGAGGGTGAAAATGTGGGTGAGGGGAGCAGAAAGAAGAGGTATGACACCATAGGAAAAGCACTCAACCCCAAGGTCAGTTTGAACCACCAGATCGGCAGTTCAAACTTATCAGCCACTCCTCGGAAACCCTATACAGGGTCACTGTGAGTCAGAAACAGCTGGACAGCAATTCACAGCAACAACACCCCAAATATAGCGTACATTATCCAAGATGAATGAGACCACTGAGGTTCAGTGATGGAATCTTCACTTCCCAGGCAGGTTACATTTGTGGCCAGGTCACCTAGTACCTAGCTAGCTACCACCCTTCTATCACTGAGGGCTTCTATGTTGCTATGATGCTGAACAAGTTTCAGTGGAGCATCCAGACTAATATGGACTAGAAAGAAAGACCTGGCAATCTCCTTCTGAAAGTGAACCAGTGGAAACCCTACGGATCACAAACATTCAATCTACAATGGATCCTGAAAATGGAACAGGACTAGGTAGCATTTCATGGCACGAGGGGTTGTCCTGAGTCGGACTGACTCAAGAAACAATGCAACATGAGTCTGCTCTTCCATTTGATCCAAGTGAGCCTCTTAATCTTGGAACTCAATATTTTCCATTTCCTTCTACCTTTTTCCTGTGCCAGTCCAAACTGATTTGCTCACACAGGCTAAGGTCTGTTTTTGAACCCATGTGGGGATGTGCTATCAGGTTTCTGGATCTTGGTGTCTACTAATGCTGTGGTGATTTTTTTTTTTTTTTTTACTTTAACAACTAGAAATTTATTTTCTCCTATATTTTTTAAATGTTTTATTGTGAATTATGTGATAGTTTACATGAGAGAACCTCAGTTCCATATTCATTCCATCACATAGCATTACATTGCCATGGTTCCAATCCCCTCCATGCCTCGTCTTCCTACCAAAGGGCATATCTTAGAAGCCCGTGCTCTACCCTCCCCCGTCCCCCCTCAGTCTTCGTCCCACAGTTCCTCTCCCTCTCTGGATCCAAAGTCCCCAGCTGCTTCATCCCTCTTGTCATCATCTCTGTCTCCATCTCAGACATCCCTGGTTATCTGGGTGGGGTCCCGTTCTCGGCTCTTATCCGTTGGTGGTCCCAGAGACCTTCTGGTGATTTTTTAAAAACAACAGAAATTACTGTATGCAGTGAGGGCAAAATTAGAGAGTTCGTTGCTTCTGGGGTCAAGGACTCCCTAGGAATTTAAGATAATTTTCAAGTTCATTAATGGTGTATTTGTTTCTTAAATATTAGACTTTATTTACCCATTTCAAAGTGCCAAGAATATCTGCAGAGTTCCGGGGAGAAAGTGCTGGCCAGTTTCCCAGTGCAAGCCACAATTCACTTCTACAATGATGGGTCTGATTCAGACGATGAAGAAGGAGAGGAAGAGATGGAGGAGCCTTCTGCACTTCATTGCCAGGAGGCAGAAGACCGTGTAGGAAGTGATCCAGGGGGGAAGTGCAGGGAGCTTTTGATGCACCAAAAAGAGAGATGCCAAGGGAGCAGAGGCCTCCATGGGAAAGATCTGCTGTCCCTTGGTGACACTTCAGGGAAAGTTGAGTCCTTCTCACCCAAATAAATCATTAATGGTGTCTTTCTCCCAACCCTGTTCTGCTCTGGGATCCACCTCCGCATGTCCTCTTGGGAACAGCCCAGCCAAGACCCTTTGAAAGTTCTGTTGGGTTGATCAGTGTGCCATTCACAAGTAAAAGAACTCAGCACTTACTTTTCTTTGTCCTTTCAACTGTTCTTTAGGACAAAGAGAAGGTTTGTGTCAACATGGATTGTAATTAGGGTCAGCTTTCATGCAGAACTGATGCTCAGAAGATCAAATTACAAATCATTTCTACATATATTCGCTACATGAGTAAGCGCTTGGCTGCTGGCCAAAGGGTCAGTGGTTTGAACCCACCAGCCATTCCTTGGAGGTCTGCTCTCATCAAGATTTCAACCTAGGAAAAACCCAATGAGGCAGTTCTACTCTGTAACATATGGGGTCACCTTGAGTAGGATTTGACCCAACAGCAACAGGTGTAGAACTGTACCTCTCACTTAATCTAATCTGAACTCATTCTTTACTTATTCCTACTTATGTACAAATGATTTAGATATTACCCAAGAGTTGATGGGGCCCATGAATGGCATGCTGAAGAAAAGAAATTATGGGGGATGGGGGTGGCATGGTGGGAGTTTCTGAACCCTTTTCTGAACAGTTTCTACTGTAAGAGTAATAGAAATAAAAAGATATGGATTTCTAGGGTGCAGTTCCCAATAAAAATGTATATGCTCATTGTATAAGGGCTGCATGTGTGTAAATATAGAGGAGAAAATGAGCACTTCATAGCTTGGGGCTTGCTACTTAAGTAGAATAAAACTTGTTTTCCATTAAAGTGCCTAATGTAAAAATATTTTTAGTTTTTATACTTTTAATAACTAAATGTGTGTATTTCTCAACGTTTTCTGAATTAACTCTCTTACATATGACAGCCTTTTTGTACATAGTTTGTACTTGAAATAAATATTTTGAAAGAAAAAAAAGTTTGATAATCATCTTTCTTGTTTTTCTATTTTAATTTCTGCTTTAACTATTTTTTTTAGTTTGTGAAGAATTTCTATGTATTTTAACTCTTTCATTTTAACATCTATTTTTATAATGCAGACAATGTACAAAAAAGTAAACAAAATGGTTATTAATCTCAATGCCCAAATAACTCATTTATATCTTTAAAAATAGAAATATGTTTTAGTTATTTGGTGACGGTGGTGGTATGCCATCAAGTCGGTTCTGACTCATAGTACCCCTGTATAGGGTTTTCATGGCTGTAAATCTTTATGGGATCAGAAAGCCTCATCTTTCTCCCACTAATATAACTTATCTAGTGCTGATGTGGCATTGTGGCAGAAAGCCTCATCTTTCTACTGCGGAGCAGCTTCTGGTTTCGAACTGCTGGCCTTAAGGTTCGCAGCCCGATTCGTAACCATTACACTACCAGAGTTCCCTATACAAGGTCGTTATTAGTCTGAACAGACTCCACGGCACTTAACAACAACAGTGCTGATATATCAGAAATACCATCAGTGGCTGCCTTTAACTAACAAATTTATTTTCTCACTGTTTTAGGAGGCTAGAAGTTCGAAATCAGGGTGCCGGCTATAGCGGAAGGCTTTCTCTCTGTCTGATCTGGGAAAAAAGCTATCTCTACTCAGCTAAGGAGCTCTGGTAGCATAGTGGTTACAAATCGGACTGCTAACTTCAAGGTCACGCTGTTCAAAACTGCCAGCCGTTCCACGGGAGAAAGATGAGGCTTTCTGCTCCCATAAAGATTTACAGCCTCAGAAACCCTGTACAGGATCATTATGAGTCGGAACTGACTCTACGGTACTTAACAACAACAATTAAGCTTTTATTCCTAGAATAATCACCTAGAATGAAGCTTGGCAATCATGTGGCATGTATCTTCTCTATTTGTGCTTGCTTGTTTAATCTGCTCTTTTATATCTCAGCACCTTAGAAAACAAGGATGGAGAGATGCTGTATCACTGTGGGCATGCAATCATAGAGAACTAGTTCCCAGAGAAGGTTGTCATGCTTGGTAAAATTCAGGGTCAGAGCACAAAAAAAGGATAGACTACCACAGTATTTAACAACAACAACAACACAGTGGCTACAACAATGGGCTCAAACAGCAATGAGTGTGAGGCTGGTGCAGGACCAGAAATGGTTTCATTCTGTTATGCATGAAGTCTCTATGAGTCAGAACCTAATAGTAACAATAGCTACACTAAGCATCCTTCATTAACATCACAAAGGAAACCACTTCCTAAATGGGATCATAACCTTAGGTGGTGGTGTTAAGTGCCATCAAGCAACATCATATATGTAAATTTATATGTACAGTTTTCAACCCCCAAAGATAAGTGAGGATCAGATTTATAAAGTTATCAATTGTAAAAGGCAATAATAATGAAAACTGGAAAAAAAAAAAAAAGGCATTTAACTTAATGTCATATCTAACTTATGAAAAAGTCATCCAGACGCCTGTCATAAGTTGGGAGGAGCTATAGGATCAGCACTGGACTGTGAACCACAGGGTCAGCTGTTCAAACCCACCAGCTGCTCCTTGGAAACCCTATACAGAGTCTCTATGAGTCAGAACCGACTTGACAGCGCTTAACAACCTACTTAACAGGAATCCTCTAAATATTAAATCCATTATTAATGACCTTTTAAAATGAATGTGAAAGTATTTGAAAAGAGATTTAGACAATTCTGGAATATTCTGCCAATCCAACAAATCTTTGGTTTGTCCACTGGGCTGTCCTTTTGAATCCCCTACGAATGTCCAGGACACCTGGTGTGGCGCTGTAGGATCAGCACTAGACTGCGAATCACAAGGTCAGCAGTTCAAACCCATCAGCTGCTCCTCAGAAACCCTATACAGGGTCGCTATGAGTTGGAACTGACTTGAAAGCACTTTACAACAACAACCCATACTTAGATTTTAGACAGCTTAGTGGAAGTTCTAAACATGAATTATATCAGCCTTAGCCATGGAAGGAAGGACCTGTGCCACAAACTGGGCATTCGTGACAAAGTAGATAGAAAGAATAGGACTCTTGGATCCTCACTTCTTATTGTGGTTTCATGGATTTCCTGGGTAGAACTTTTTTTTTAGTTTTCAGATAATTCATATGCCATAAAATTTACTCTTTTAAAGAATGCAATTCTTTTAGCATATTCTGTGAGTTGTGTAACCATCCCTACTATCTAATTCCAAAACATTTTCATCACTCCAAGAAGAAGCCCCTAAACCATTTTCTGTTACTCCCCATTTCCCCTAACCCTCCATCCCTGGTAATCACTAATCTATTATCTACCAGTATGAATTTGCCTATGATGAACATTTCATGAAAATACAATATGTGGCCTTTCATACCTGACTTCTTTCACTTGCTACTGCTGTTGTTAAGTACTGTGGAGTCAGTTCTGACTCATAGTGACCCTGAGAATCTGAATCGCTAACTTTGCAGTTCAAACTGACATTGCAATCAAGTGCTTATCCGACAGCACCAAAGGGTCATCCATATTGCACATTAGTTCTGCATTCCCTTTTCTTTTCCCCAGCAGTATTTTTTTTTTTAAGTTTTTATTGTGAATTGAGTGATAGTTTACATGGGAGAACATTGATTTTACACTCATCATTTCATTGCAGTGATTACAGTCTCCTCTGTGCATCATCATTTGACAGTATTTGCTTCCATTCCCTCTGTTGTTTTGTTTTGTTTTTTGATGATTCTACAAGCCTGCCTCCTGGCCGCCAGCACACAGCCTTTCTCTTTTCATGAATCTAGAGTCCTCAGCTGCTCTCTCTCTCCATGTCCTCATCTCTACCTCCATTTCTCATGTCTCATTTCTATAGGTAGGGTCCCACATTCCGCTTCTGCTCTTCTCCCTTGGTGGTCCTAGGGTCCTCTGTTGTGGAATGTAAGATCAACTATCCCCCTCTTTATGTTACAAAACTTCTACCTTTACAGTTGTTGCATTCCTTTTTATTGCAAAATAATATCCCATTGTACAAATGTGATAATTCGTCAATTGATGCCATTTGGGTTGTTTCCTTTTTTTTGGCTATTTAAATAATGCTTCTGTAAATGTTCATGTGCAAGTGTTTGTTAGAACACATGTATTCCTATCTCTTGGGTATATTCCTAGGAGTAGAATTGATGGATCATATGATAACTCTGTGTTTAATTGTTTGAGGAACTACCCAAGATCTTTCCAAAGTGGCTGCATCATTTTATAGTACCACCAGCAAGGAGCTCTGGTAGCATAGTGGTTATGAGACAGGCTGCTAAGCTTAAGGTCAGCAGTTCAAAACTACCAGCCATTCCACGGAGAAAGATGAGGTTTTCTGCTCCTGTAAAGATTTACAGTCTCGGGAACCCTATATAGGATCGCTAGGAGTTGGAACTGACTCCACGGCACACCACCACCACCAATGTCTGAGGCTTTCTGTATATCTGCACAATCTGCATATTGTCTGTCTTTTTTAATCTGCTATAAGAAGTTCTGGTAGTGTAGTGGTTACGAATTGGGCTGCTAATCTCACGGCCAGCAGTTTGAAACTACCAGCTGTTCCATGGGAGAAAGATGAGGATTTCTGCTCCCGTAAAGATTTACAGCCTCGGAAACCCTGTATAGGGTTGCAGTGAGTCGGAATCGACTCCAGAGCACACAACAACAACAACATTCAGCTGTAGTGTGGTGCTGTAGGGTAAGCACTGGACTGTTAACCACAAGGTCAGCAGTTCAAACCCATGAATGACTCTTTGGAAACCCTATGCAGTCACTATGTGTCGGAATCGACTCAATGGCACACAACATCACTGCCAGTTGCAGTGCAGTTGTATCTTACTGTGGGTTTGATTTGCATTTTCCTGATGACGAATGGTTTTGAATATCTTTCATTTGCCGATAGCTATCTGTACATCTTTGACGAAATGTCTGTTTCAATCTAGGCCATTTTCTAATTGGTTTATTTGCCCTTTTTTTTGTAGAGTTATAATTACTTATATATT